CTGATGTCATGCTGTCGATGATGATGATGTTCGCTGAAACCCCTCCGAATGATATAGGCGTACTTTTCGCCATTCAGAGGAGGATACCGGTCCAGCTACCGCTGGTGTACAGCCTCTGCATCCATTTGGAGGACACTGGCGTTGAAACTCCGAAATTTCAAGTCGTCCGCAAAAAGTAGAATTGAGCTTAGAAGAGTGTCTGTAAGGACATTGACGTAGATCAGATAAAGAAGTCACAAACCGGAGCCTTCAGGAACTCCAATGATGACCGGTGCCGAAGAAGAGTAGGTCGAGCCTACTTTCTCTCGGAATGTTCTCTCTAACAGAAACGCCATAATCCAGCGAAGAATTTCCCTTTGAATCCCATAAGACTTGGTTTTGTGGAGCAGCGAGACATGTGGGACTCGGCCAAGTGCTTTTGAAAAGTGACATCTGATATGAGTCCACCGTCCTTAGCTTAGGTTCAGCTGTCCATAAATACGAGCATGTGTGTCACGCAAGAACGGGTTGGGAGGAGTCATGGTTGTTGGTAGTAAGATTGTCTAGGATGGCCCGCTTCAGAATGCGTTCCGTCACCTCGCACGGTACGCCAGTGAGGCTAATGGGCCTTTAGCTGCCGGGCAATAGGCGGTCGCCGGTTTTGTAGATGATAATCGCTTACTTTCGAGCAGGTGGAAAGTTGCCTCTGTCGAGGGACTGACGAATCACTAGGTAAAAATGCTCTGTCGGTGTGAGTAGCGTTTCCTTCATTATCTTGGGTGAACCTCCTCTGGCCCCAACGCGGCGAAGGGGTTTGTCTTGTGCAAGAGTTGACTGTCCTCAGTGAAGAGCACGTTGGTTAGAGACTGTTCATAATTACGCATTGACAAGATCGGATGTGAAAAGGTCGATAGGGCGAAATATAGGCTTGAATAGTGTTCCCTATAGACTTCAGATATAATTATTGGGTCATTTGTGGGGTTCCCGTTCCTGTCCCTCGAGGAGAAAGCAGTTGGCTTTTTTCCTGTGGTTTCTCTTGTCCTTAAACATTACATTTTTCCAGTCAAGTTCCAGTATTCCGGCTGAAATCATGTGATTCATTAGTGGATCCCTGATATTCAGCGGCTTCGCATTTTACGGAATGCCAGCTCATCTTCTGTGTCACCTGTAGTTACCTTTTGGAAAAATAGTTGGAATCTCTTTCCCAAAAGACACCGTATCATTTAAGGTAGCTCTCTGTCCGTCTGACTACGCGCCGCTTCTTTTTTTGACGCGTCTGTCTCATGAATTTTCAGGACAATGGTTTTGTATAACACTTCCACTGAAACTGGTCTCGGTCTTAATTGCTTAAGGAAGCTACTCATTTCTGGGAAGCCTGCATGGCAGAAGTTTCGAATCCACGTCTGTGGTTCCGTATTTCTGGCCCAGTAACGGATGGAATCAAACGTTAGCCACAGTGGTCGCCATGTTCCAGTTAACACTTGATCAACGTAGCGTCTTTCGTCGGTCACTGACCAAATCCAGCGCTGATGGTAGTTGGCCTACGCGGTATCTGGTGGGTGTGACGACATACTAAGTCCAACTCTTCTGTTGAACGACTCCGCTCAGCGGCTATGGAGAGTGTCCACTCGCAGAGCACCGCGTCTTGAATCTAGCCAATAGCTTTTCCATGAGGCGAGGTTTATTTAGCTTGTTCGACCGCAGTTGCTTTCCTTTTTTGTGTGGACTATCAGGTCGTCCGCGATTAGCGTAGCCAACTCGGTGTATGTAGCAATTTGCAGTACACTGCTGCCGGTTTTGTAGCTTTGGCTATCGGAGTCTTGAGCGACAACTTTGTCCACGATCACAGAGGCTGTTTTTGACGGAGTGGGGCTGAAGACTGGCGTTGTGGCATTTTTCGTGATTGTGGGGTTCTGGCAGTAGTTCCCGACGTCTCAGTCACCGTTTGTGGTTGGTCTCTCAATAGACTTCGCTGCTTGTCCTTGCACAGCTGACCCAATCAATCTTGTGAATTGGGTGTAAAGTTCACCGATGCGCCTTTGTCGTCCGGTGAAGAAATAAGCGATGCTAATTCCACATCCGTTAGACATTACGTCCACAAGCACCACTTTCGCTGGTAATCCAGGGGGCTGCGACGGTTAATTAGAAACAAAGGTTCTAGCGCGACCTTGTGGAATATTCTGTGGTGACCCTACAGGTAAGGCTGTACTGATCTTCCGTTATCTCCAAAAATGGATGCTCAAGTTACCTTGCCTTTTGATATTCCATATTGAGTGCAGCAACAAGCCAAGGACCAAGGTAGAAGGTGCACACCGTCCGCAAGACAACACATGGGACGAATGCCTTCTACATCTGAGGCCTCGCAATCCACCAGCGTTTCGTCATTAATCGTGCTCCTAATTATCTACTGTTTGAGGGGTCCGCTTGCGCCATTACGGTCACTATGGTGCAACTATAGTTGCCGGTTTTTTTTCTGTTAACAATAAGACCCACTCATCTCGACGACACCTATTTTTCATCTTAACGAGTCGGATGGTCTCGACAGACAGTTCCAAAAGCATGACTTTTTTACTCGTCTCCATTAGATCTCCAAGCAGTCTTCGTCATCCACAAGACCGTGCGTCTCCGGTAGCTTTCTAGCCAGGTCAGCTTGATACTCTTGAGCTATTGAAACTGTAACACTACAGAGCCAAAATTTTGAGAAGAGAAAGGCTTGTACAAAGCTTTTCGTAGAGACCTCGAAGACTTCATCCGGTGAACCCTCAGAAAACTCAACTCGGCCAACTCAGCAGCACAAGGGAAAGCAAACGTACTACACTTCCATGCACCATGAGCGTTTCCGAAATGAATGCACGATTATTACGAAAGTATGGCACAGCCGTTGCCAACAAACCAGCGAACACCCTATGGAAAGCGCTGTTAAACAGAAAGGATGAATTGGACACAATGATGAGGACCAATGTCATGTACGAGACTCAGTGCGGCGTGTGACAAACGGGAAGGATTAGAAACTAGAAAACATGAAGCAGTGATTGCATGCTGCTTTCACGATAGGGCAGTACTTTGTCTAATAAGAAGAGTACTTATGAGAGTGATTGCCTTGCAGTTAGGTGCGCACTGATGGTTCTTCCTCGTGTTGTGACGAAACGTTTGCAATCCAGTTGCTAAGTTCGGCGGACAGATCAACAACCAAAAAACTCATCAGAGCCCTCAATATTTCAGCAGATCGCCTTGCTTTTTGGCAGCCACTTACTGTCCCTCAGTCATTTCTACACCTCAAACAATGGATTACTCCTCTCTTCGTGTCTGGGTCATTCCCATCCAATCCCCAGTAGATAGGGTCAGGATATGGTTGCTGAAGTCTGGCAACATTTTTCGCATGAATCGATGGATTCACCGCAAATATAGTCATAAATCAGTAAAGACAGAGTAGGTAGCGGGCATTTTACCGCGATTTACCACTCAAAGAAAAAGCAGGGGGAGTAGAATGTTTCATTGGCTGCGTAGCCTAGTAAATACTTTCCTCCTCACGCTTTTTTGACTCTGGTTAATTGATTCTATTTGACGTCAGCCCGGCATCGACGCAAACTTGAATCATAAGCGCGAGGTCCTATTGGGTCTGCAGTACAAACTAATTGGTATACAAGTTAGTGTACTTCGTTTAAATCAGCCTGAGTAAAAAACAGCTGCTAGTTTCCAGTCACTAAGTCAGACCGCTCAACGGGTCTGGTTGTAACATTCTTCACCTGAGTCATCCTTTTTCTGTGGCTTCAGATCCGCATGTCATCAACCAAGGCGGTCAGACCAATCTTGTCACGTAATCACGCGGAAGCCAAGAGACGCGTGCTCAACTTGTACCGCGCGTGGTATCGACAGCTGCCGTTCATTGTCAAAGAATATGCATTCAGCCAATCTAATGTTACTGTACCCATATTGTACGCAAAACTACGCGAAGAATTCTACAAACACAAAGACGTAACAGATCTGCGCATAATTGATATGCTGATTCATCGGGTAAGTTTTCGACTCCATTTCTGACTTATTTGTTGTGCTCATAGGGCCAGAATGAGCTTATCGAGGTCGCCCATGTTTGGAAGTCAGATACACACCTGATGGATTATTTCCGTGACAATGTACCTGAGAAACCAAAAGACTTCCTGAGCAAATTCCTTCGCGGTCATGAACCCTGACAATGCCTTCTTCTATCATGTGCGCGCTATACTTGTTCCTTCTTCAATAGTTTACAAGATTCCTTAGAATTTATGAGGGTTCTAATTTTTTGACAGTTTGGTTCGCCGCTTTCCATCTATGGTCACAAATGTGTGTTGTCACTAGTGACTATTTTGTATTAAGAATGTGCTGATTATTTGGGGCCTAGTGTGCAATTAGTGTATTGCATAGCTCACGCAAAAAACGCTGTAAATCACTCTTACCATAAGAGACTATTCTGATACAGAGCCCACGGCGCTCTCCACCAACCAGAATTTCGTTCCGTTCTCCGAAGAGGTCGAAGAGGTCATCCCGATCTGTTGAAGCTCACCGTACACTAGACTGCTTGTCTTTCGTGGTTTTTAAGCTAAAATCAGAACTTGAGAACCAGTAGAAAATCAAGTCGTACTACCCATTCGGCCTCAGTACCTATGTGACATGCACAATCGGTGGTCCGTGTTTTCTAAATGATACTTTTCCTTCGGATGACAAACTTCCCAACTGGAGTGTTTCTGCAAAGGCGAATCGACCGCTAAATAACGGGTCGCACACTTTCAGCACCTGGGTAGTAGTATTGGATGTATGCTGGTCTTTCGAACAGTATTCTGAGCGGGCATATGCACTAAATTTGAGATGCGAATCTGTGACGCCGATATATTCATGCAATGCGGTGTTCGCCAGCCGCCGTCATCCATCATCATGACCATCATCGGCAGCATGACATCAGTGTTCAACACTGATGCTTCNTACGAAACTCGAATAAAGGGTGAATGAATGCGCGGTAATGACAGCCTACCCAATAATCGCCATCGCTATAGTGACATGCATATCTAATTTTGTGACTCCTACTCGAGCTTAGCTAGGTGACGTAAAATTTTCGTTCATAATGGCCTGGATGACGGGGCATGAGGATATTATGCCCCGTTATGAACGAAAATTTTACGTCACCTAGCTAAGCTCGAGTAGGAGTCACAAAATTAGATATGCATGTCACTATAGCGATGGCGATTATTGGGTAGGCTGTCATTACCGCGCATTCATTCACCCTTTATTCGAGTTTCGTAACTTGCAGTGCGTACCGCATTTGTGAGATGTTCTGACGACTGCTGCATCCATGCCTAACCTATTGGCCAAAATAGGTCACGTCCGAATAGGTGTCCGTCGTTATGGCGGCATGTGACATCGACTGGTTATGAGCCATATGGAAAAAAGTAAACCGTTCAGCTGCAACACCCAGTGCCTAGCTGCCATGCCACCCGGAGGAAGCACAAGGGCTGAGATACTGTCAGGTTGCCTAAGCCTAGACAGGGGAAGTCGAGATGCAGAGGTCGGGTTCGAACCACGGACCTTACAGTCAGTAGATTCGCGCTCTAACCACTTGAGTCATCTCGCCATATAATGACCCATCTACTTTCACTGTACTAGAATCTGTGATCCTTTTCGCACGTCCATCAGACTACTTCCAATCACTTGGTAACCCCCCCCCCCCCCCCCCAGAAACTTCCCTAACGTGATATGCTCAGATCAGGTCCGGTCTTAAGGGGAGCAATTTTTCTGTGTGAGACGATCAGCTGCAACCAATATTCATCAACTTAAAGTGGTCAGTGCTATTTGGGTGGCGCAAAAAACTTCTCCGTGTTGCATAATCGTATCATATGTTTTGACATGCGGGAATAGATGGCAGCGCGGTCCCAGCTACCGCCGTTGAAAAGCAGTTGGTGAACCATCGACTTTTGACATCTGCCCACGATAACTCAGCCATAGTGAGACATTCAGGCTGAATTCGGGACTCAAGAGTCGACTCATAGTTATCATCAAATCCGGTTTAAGAAAACAATTGGTTCTATTCAATTCGCTTTCTTTTGCCCTTAGGGCCCCAGTCAGTATTTGTTTTCAGCCCTCGGACACGGTCGAGTATTTGGAAACCGTCCGAAAATGTTAAAGGCGCATACACTAATGCCGACATTTCTTGGCTACACTCTTACCCCTGGTATCGGCCGTTTAACCGCATATAGTGTCCATTTTCCAGTATCGTAGTACAGGCCCTTTGATTTTCCCCTTGTGACCAACTTACGGAAGCCGGTTGGTTGCCCTCTGTAGCAATGTCTATAAGGCCACCAGGATGACCCTGTATGTCCACAGACGTGTTTTTGACACAGACGCCCTTCTACCTTCCACCGTTCGACTTTGCTAGATCGCCGAGAGCGTGTTGCAGTCCTTTGTCACAAATCCAGTGTCTGTCCAGAGAGAGAGCTGCCCTGTGTGTGCCGGCTTAAGTAATAACCACAATGTAGTGATTTGCGAAAACTTCCCATGATGAGTGAACTAGAACTGCGCTCAAAGCGTAGCACGAGATTGATCAGTCCCCCGCACGTCTGATGTCGGGTTTGTTCTGGATATAGAAATCACAGGATATTGATTTGCTGCAGAGCGACCCTCAAGTCAGCGTGCATCGTTAACGTCCCTCACAATACTCGTCGCCACGCCTGTCCAACTTCTCCATTTACTGGAAGCTCGCACTAAATTGCAGTTTCGATTTTTCTGATTACCGTAAGCATTCAACCAGTTGAACACATCGTTAGACTAGTAGTAAAAGCGTTTGGTATCATTCACAAAATGCTGGCCGACTGAACGACGGAAATAACCAATGCGGTCATCAGAATTATCTAACGAGAGTCAACAAACAAGTCTATTATAAACAGATTGGTCATCATTGCCCAAAGCTTGGTGTCAGTAGTTGTCTGCACGTAGCAGTCTTATTATAATGTAATGCCCAGGGAGGCACTGTTATGTGATAGGCGTACCGCATTCTCACGAGATTTCAGGAACCTGCGAAACTGAAAGTTCGACGGAAGCCGCCGTTTTGTTCCTAGAACGAGCCAGTTTAGTAATTCCGTAAATGCGAACCTGTGGCCAGTAGTGACAATCTGTGGAGATTCGGATTCTACGTGCTAGTTACTCTACGACAACCGTGGTACGTCTACTCTAACGAAACGGTATACAGAAAGATCGATAGACGGAATGAGTCTTAATAGCCGTCAGATTATTAATGATGAACCGATTCAGCAATTACTACTGGAATTCAACATATTGAACGGGCAAAATGGATAACAGGTGCGTACCCCGCCAAATGACGTCACGGTTCAACATGTTCACAAACCACGCCGTCAGGCACGAAGCAATACGAGTTCAACAAAGTTCCACACGCCGAGTGGAACACACTTCGTCACATGGCTGCGCTGGATTTCCGTCCACGTTCGATCTCAGCCAAACAAACATCCCTGTCCAAGTGCGCGTCAATCACACTGCTGATCAGCCGCTCGTGGCCGAATGGTTAAGTGTTCAAACTACTAACCAGGAGGTCGCGGGTTCGAGACTCTCCGGAGTTTCGTGAGATGCGCACTGCTGATGATTCCCAATAAGGATGAAACAGCTGTACAGTGCTTCTCGGCTTTTCAGGACGAAATCTCCACAAACATCCCTCCCTCATGCGAGAAAGAAGAGCGAGCATCAGTTGTAGATGTATCCAGCTGCTCGCCTTATAGACTGCCAGTTCCTGCAAAATGAAATAACGAAAACAGTGGTACTCGAAAAAGTGCAAAAGTTTCACGATACGTCAGTAACCTTAGTTGACGCAAGCTCTCGCCATCTTGATTCCTGTAGAGAATAGCTGACGGCCCCATCAGTTGCTTCTAAATTGAGTTTTTATTCACGCATTCATCGTCTATGCCAATGCACTGCGCAACTTATGCATGCTTGTCTACAACTACCGACAAAATCACAACTTCTAGGACGTTTGAATTCTATTTTTTCAGCCGCAGCAGACCGTGCCTTTTATCCTCAACAGTGCGAACACGTATCGCGTTCTCCCCAAGTACACTGCTGTTATTTTGTAAGTGAAGAGTGATTCTGCATGTACAACTCGTCAATTACGTGTAGCAGTCCCGGAAAACGGAAGCGACAGAAGACAATATGGGGTCAAATTATTTTGACACAACACGGGGAATTAATCTGAATACAGTCATGAAAATTGTACTGAGGCGTAGAAAAATGCGTGGCATGCACATGGTGAATAGGAACAACGACTGGCTTGTTGCAATTGGGAGAATAATAGCAATAAAGGTGAGTGATGAGTTCGTTCGATCCGGTTAGACATTCATCTGTTTCCGCAGGTCGTTCACCGGGTTATGATAAAACGGGTCCCCGAGGAGGAAGTGTGCGGTGGCCAATACCATCACGGTGAAAATCAGTAAGAAAAGGGCAAGTCTGGGCGACACACTTCGACTCAATTGTCCTGTCCGGCCGAGAAAAGAGACAAAGTATGGGTTAATGAATCGAACGACTTGAAAAATAAGGCCATAAACATCGGTGGCAAAGAACTAGGGCAATTATTCTTGTGTTCTTTTTTCCCTCGATAGCCTCGGTCACCTTAAATGGGCTAGTGAATGTAGCCCGCTTGGTCAGTGCCGAAGGTATCCATGGTTGAATATTTTCATCTGTGTCTCTGCCTAGCGTTACTAAACGGAACCACGTCGTCTGTTTGCAAAAATTAACCCGAACACATCAAATACGAAGGAATGCACACGACGGTGCTCGGGTCGTAGATTATGTATTATCTGACCAAACTAAGAGTTCAAGCCACTATCATCAACATAATTATCAGCCTTAGATGGTGGAAGGGACTTAAATTGATTTCCGCTGCCAGTTTCACTTGTTATCATCACTATCGATAAAACTACAGGGAAAGGGAACAGCATTGTTCACACTAACGGACACTGCCACAGTGCTTGAAGACCAGCGGAGTCGAAGGGCGCCTATCAATCCATCGTTGGCCGCTGAAATCAGTGGCACTTGCAGGAGGCTTAATAAGACGACCATCGTTGGCCGTTGAAATCAGTGGCACTTGCAGGAGGCTTAAAATGCGATCTGAGCACTTATGTCCGAGCGGAAGCCAGTCCCATCCCACGAATCTATCACTCGAGAGGTCCGAGTCAAACGAGTCGTCATCATAAACAACAATACGAGCGCACATATTTGTGCTCCACTGTCGCACAACCTTATCAATCACCTCTACCGGGCTCATTCGACGAACTAGGGCGTTCATACCATCCGTACGTAAGACATCAGTGCTTTTCACAATCCGAACTGTGTGACACGGGGCAGGTATCTCAGCTTCGACACCGGGCCTGCTAGCGCATAGGCCGACACTACAAATAGGTTCTTTATATCTCCCGAAACAGCAGACTTTGACCGAGCTGAATAACTGAGCAACGCAAAGAAGACTGTTTACTGGAATCCAGTCTAGTCGACTGATTGAAACCACCCATAATTTGTCATTCTTTCAAAACCACCCGAAGACGGGTGTGAAATCTAGAAAACAGAACAGACGTTAAAAGGAGGCCACCAAGTACCGAACGAAGTGAACTAATGCGACATCGAACAATGGTTATACAATCCGACTTTCGTTGGTGGACTCTAAAAACGCGGATGAGAATTAGCCAGAAGGGGAATCAAATCGAACCGATAACGATGCGAAATATTTTTCCGCACAAAAGATGACGCCAGTTAGGGAATTGAAATAAAGAACCTGTGCAGTTTTCTAATCACGAAACACTAGCCGTTCTACTGAGCTGGTCGCTTTATAACAAAACTGCAAAAGTTTTCCAAAAGAGTCAAATTCTGCTTTGCTACCAAACCACCACTACACTGGGAAAACCACTGAATCACCTTGTGTCACAACTGCCTTGCAAAGCAGCCATACAAAAAGACTTTCCAAGGGACGCCACCGTTGAGATTTTGTGCACCTTCCGGTCCCGGCAACGGCCATATCCCAACACAATTCCTCTCAACTGAAATTGCGCTGATGCACTTATCATTTGGACTTAATATCCGGAACGATCGTGCTTATCGATGGTGTCAGTGCCGTGTTTGGGGTTTCATGCCACATGAACAAGAAGCCTAGTAATTATAACAGTTAAACCATGTGTCGCAGAAATACTAGCATTTACCTCCGCTCTCGCTGATTGCATGGAATGATCGATTGGGGCATACGTTGAAATTCATCTCATATGACCGGAACTGTTGGTAGTATGACTTCGAATGAAAAGTTCCTCTCTTTTATCTCATATTCTCCTGTTACCCTTTCGCATTCGTCGCTTGCATTCGCTTTTTATGTTTGTGACCATGCTCTTCAAAAATAAATGACAAGTAGTAGTAGAGCAAAGTCTTGACCGGTTGTCCTAGCCTATCTCTTCTAGACAAAGATCAGACCTGTAACGAGTAAGGTGGTAAAAATCATTAGCGGACACGTGGCCGCCAGGTGAGAGCTTCACCGTCCGGTCGCGCCAAGATCTTGAATACCTACACAAAGCACATACATGCTTCTGGAAAGATTTGTTCTATGTGTGGACTTGTCCAGTCTTTACCGCAAGCAACAAACTGCAAAACCAGTTAATCAGGATACGCACCATCATTTAAATGAGGGAGCTGTACGAATGCACGCATCGCATAGCAATAAAACTGTACTAGGTAACATCCATCCATAATTCGGAAGCATGTACAGTTACTTCCAAGCAGACCTCGGGTAAACAGACTGACAAAGAGAATTCATGAACCAAGAAGGACCCACCAAATTCATTGATGAGGAAAAGAGGAGGATACACCTGACAAATCTCGACGGATCGTCAATGTAGAGCATCCAAATTCGACTGGGTTCATAGCAGATACTAGCAAACATGAAACAATGACGGCACGCTACTCCTACGGTAGGGCATTATGTTGTCCAGTGAAAAACTTACTTAAAGTAGCAACAATCAAAGCACGGACGGCATTTATGAGTGCGACTACCGATCTCGAGACGGGACTACGCAGATCCTTGATTTTCTTTGTCACAGACCACTTTTCACTGCCAGCAGTCCGTTTCCATGGTGTCGCCTTGTCGGAGGGACTGTATGGCCTTGATGACAGAAGGGTAACAGAATCAGGTAGAATTAAATCCGTGTATGGATTGGTAAGATCTGGACGCTCTGGATGAATGGACCGACGGCGGTAGCTGGGAAGACGTGATGCGTACTCCAGTATAGGTGAGGACTTTTGCGCCGGAGAATTGAAGGATAAACTTCCGTTAGTTACTTCTGTTGCCGTGGAATCGTTGGTGGTGTTGGTTTGGCTGGATCAGCGTGAAAAAGATGACATTAGGCAGTCTTAGTTGACATTTCGACCCAAAGAGCGCAAGTTTAGGTCATCGTAAAATGATGAACACGACCCACCCAGTCATTTTCGATCATAACCAACCACTTAGAAGATGAATAGCCTCAATCGTCACAGTTCCTGCAATCAGCAAGTAGTTCGCGGAAAAACCGTGGCGCCCGTGCATAACGCACTCATAGGACTAGAAAACACAACACCACCCTTTAGCATAGGCCTCAGTGTACCGCAGCCAAACTGCTCAGTCCGTACCCTACTGTGGTCTGGCCTTTCGTGTTACTTGTTTAAGGGCATATACTTTCAGGGAACGTCAGCGTCACAGATACCCAAAGCCTTATTATTTCGTAGTACTATACACCGTCAAAACATCGGTGATCCCACATACCGCGCCAGATCTCTACACACTCCCACTACATCCCTCTCACAAACGGTCCCCACTCGCCACCCAACACCCAAATTACTATCCCATAGTACGCATTTCTTGGCAGAAAAGGCCCAGTCCGCCAGAACAGAACTTTGGTGCTTTGATGGGTAAACCGGTGATATCGGTTGGGTTGTGGGTGCTCCAACGGTTCATGCGCATTATTCCAGTGAGTAACAGTAAATTATAAATAAAGGACCGCCCAGTTGTAACATTTTCGGTACCTAGCCGCCATGCCATCCGAAGACACACAAGGGATGAGATACAGCCAGATTGTCCAAGTCTAGACAGGAGCAGCCGAAATGTAAAAGAAGGATTCAAACTATGAACCTCCTGGTAAATACATTCGCCGCTTGAATATTAAGCTGTCTCGAGCTCTTACGAACACATTTCATATGGACACATCCATCACTGTTGTGAGCAACAGTACTGTAGGATTTGTTCGTATGATAGGACAAGGCGGAATAAGCACGGCAAAAGTTAATGGCATCCGTCTAGCTGTCTGACCTCAGTGTTGGATGCTCCTATTTCAACCACTTGACAGTGGTTGGCTTATATACATCAGCCTACGAAAGCAAGTTCCAAAAACTCCGGCCGACTGGAAAATTTCATGAAGACTGTTATCCCAGGGAGCACAGACGATTTTGGGCTATCTGGTTGACCCTAATGTGCTTTTCATTGCCAAGACAGCGTACTCGAGAAAAGACAGGTCCAACAATAGGACGCATAAGGAATTCGCCATCGTTGGTGCAGCGAACGGAAGAGAATAAGACATTGGTTGACAGACACTGATGCCGGTCAAATCTTTCGCAAAAAATAGCACCCACAATAGAAGGAAACTTAGCATGTCAGGAGTTGATTACTCGGTGATGAGGATTTATTGACCGACCGAATTTGCTGTACCAACAGTGTCAGTTTTCAGTGTTTACACCAGGAATGGACAGTACTCTTTCGGGAGTGACCTGGGCAACCCCAGTGTCTCCAGATAAATGGTCATCCGAGACTGCCTCAGCACTATCATCATCATCGACAGCACAAGGTCAGTTTTCAACACCGGTACCTCGCCGCCGTACAAAAGTGATATTCAACATGTCGAAGTATTGCTCCGAATGAGTAGTTCGGTAAGACGGGGATAAATTAATCGGACTTTAACTGGTTGTTACGTCCGGTGGTAGTTGTGCGAGTGGTTGCTAGGTAGGATGATATGAAATAAATGAAGCGGAGAGAAACTGAAGCTCGCAACTGCAAAGAATCGATACTGACTTTGTGTCCGGATTTGGTTGTGGTAATGTGGGAGCGGTTTTTCGTGGCGACCTGCGGGGCAGAAGCAATCATTTAAAAACCACAAAAGGAAAAACACCTACTTTCTCGGACTCTTGACAGCTGCCACCGCAGGTGTTTCCAACAATTTCTCAAAGCTAGAATCACCAACATTTTCCGGAGGGAGATCGCTTATTAAATGCTTCTCTAATTTAGCCAGAAGTACGTGGCGCGTCGTCTCTATAACAGCGAAGCGAGAGGTTTCTTCTTAGGACATGAAAACTTGCCAGTCACTGGAGGGACAACATCCATGTATTTGGATAGCATAGAACGCAAATCTTCATCCGAAATATCCATATCTAAAATGAATATTGACAGGCGGTACAGAGTCGTGCGCATGAGAATTGGGAACCAATTACGAGTCATTAACTAGAGGGATCAAGCTCCAGTCATCCAAGCGCAATTCGACGGTACAATCCACCCGGTTCCTATGGAAACCTTTACCTGCGAGCTCAGGTATACTCAAGTCCTGACAGATGACAGTTGATCGTGGTCACCAGTAAGCCACCATTCAGCACTAGTGACGGCAACGTCAGTGTTTAACAATGGTGCCAATTTAGAAAACAGCAAATAATGCACAATAGTTAGATAAAAATTGTTACTCAATGAATTGTCAACTTTGCTCCAAAACGTAATTGTGAATGATGAAAGCTAGATACAGAAGAGTATTTGGAAAGCATAAGCCGTGTACGAATGTTAATATGGGGTGATTTGACAATACCCGTAATCATCGGCGTAGGCGGTCGTTACACTGTCTCTCGGGAAAACGAAAACAGGTCAAATGCGAATCCCAAGACTCCGCAATGTAATTTTGTCTATATGGAAAACTCTGTCTTACCAAACAAGACCGTGATTTTCTGCTAGGACGTGCAACGTGATGACTGAATTTCAGTTTCTTGTACTGAAACGCCCTTAAATGCGGAAAACGCGCATCTTTCGTGTCCGCAGTTGCCTACTAGCCTCTCCCATACTGACAACATTGCAGTCCCCGCAACAAAAAAATGGTATGCTTCGTGGTGGATCAGGTGCTCTGTTAACGTGTTGTCTAACTTGGGGTCAGCGGAAAATGCACGAATTCGTTCGTACCTAGTCTCCTGTACCGTGAATAGGTGCGAAACATTCATTGATACATGGAGAAGTGTCCACATCATTTTTCGAACACCCGGTCTTTTTTTGTTTCACACAAACTTAAAACCCAGGAACAACTTGGCTTCAAGAACCCACACGCACTGAGTGACGGTGGTAAGGCACATTCCCAATGACTAGCCTAAACAGGGAAAGTCGCGAAGCAGGGGTCGGGTTCGAGCCACGGACCTTCCGGTTAGTAAATTCGCGCTCTTCTCACTGAGCCATTTCACCGATGGGGGTCATATGTATATGGGTCGACGGTAATTAAGGCCATCATGGTCGAAGCGGTGTGACTCATTAAATGCACCGCCCTGAGTAAATTCTGAGGTGCTCAAAAACAGCGAAGGGCTGAGAACACTCCAAAGTCGCGCTAAATCCGGGAGAACATCTGAAATATGAATGCTGCATCTCTTCAAAAACTATAAAGGGTGGCAGTCGTTCGGAAGTTACTAATCACCTAGCACGGGCTCGGAGGAAGCTGCCTGACTGTTATCGTTAATTTGCACATGAGTATTCGTCAGTGAGTACGATCTGCTGCTCAAGTAGAGCATTAGGCCAATAAAGATCGGGGACTACGATTAATTGACGAGCTACAAGAATAGTAAAATCTATTGCAGTATATTAATGGAAGACGATGACAAAGGGGATGAAGTACTCCGGGGCAACAGTGGTCCGTATTAGCTTTTAAGAAAAAGCATCAGAAACTAGTGGGTTAGAGTCTGAGGGACATTGATATCACAAAGGGAGCTGCGAAGGTGATTCTAATGGTATTGGACAAGAGAATTACATCCAGGCTATGTGAACTTCATTCCTCTATATTCTCTTACAGATGTTGCCAAACGAACCGTACAGAGGCGATTATCAACGGGTATCCGCCTCCGCCACCTACCCCAATATATCCAGCAGCAGCGGCCTCTGCATCACCAGAGGTGCGCAGTCACAACCTGGAAGGAAGCGTGGGGGAAATCAGTTCGATCAAAGCACTTGCGTCCTGCATCTTTGTTTCTGACGGGCAACATACATCAATGCAGATGGAATCCAGCGTACGAGCAAGATCCACCTGCTGATCTGCTTGTTTCAGCGTGCGAACATTGAAGGTGGCTAAGTAGACAGGCTTTCAAGGTTAGAAAACAGACTTCGAAGTGTTTAGGGTTGTGATCGAACTAGGGCGTAGAGAAGCTGCAGCTGACTGTGAGGCAGGGCAGGCAGAACGGTCAGTCCTAGAGCTGGGCCTGCGGAGAAAGTATTCAAATTTGAGCGGGGGGAGGTGGAAGAGGGAAAACGCAAAAGTGTAAGACGGGAGGCGTCAGCAGTAGCATGTTTTCGCTTACCCGCCTTGCTGCTAGTACATTAACATTTTTACGGAACATGTCGCCACACATGTTCCAACCCCCAACCGGGGGGGGGCAGGAGACTGTGTTCGCCAAACCTTTGCTCACGGGCTAGCCTGGTATGAGAGACTGTGAGTGTCGCGCGGACACCTTACAATATAGCTTACTGGGTCGCCGAGGTACACAAACCGCCACACCACGGCAAGGTTCAGTCTCTTCGTGACGGGATGGTTGACGTAAGATTGTCAGAGCAGCCTACATGCTAAGCAGTGAGATCCCACACACGTTCCGATCTAGAGGGATTGTATTTGTCTAGCCACTAAACACTGACCAACCTGGTGCGAGAGGTTCTGTGAGTGTCACATGTACACTCCCCAGAATAGCTCAATGGGTTGTGGAGGCGCACAAACCGTCACACCACGGTGAAGCCGTCACTCCGTAATGAGTCCTTACTTGACTGGATATCCGTCAATAGCGGCCTCTGTGCCGTTCGTCTGGAAGTCTCAGTGGAGTCTTACAAGCGAGAAGTTGATCGTTGTCTGTTTACCGTATCTGATTACACCCCAACTGACTCTTGTTCTGATACTGTCAAAGACAAATTATGGGGCGTCTTGATTCCCCCGACACGACGGGCTAACGTTGTGGTTGCAGGAGATTTGAATACACACGTTGGTAGGTTCACCACATTTGAGACTCAAATGAGCGGTCGACTTGGATTGCATTTGGTGCGCACAGACAACTACGAACGACTTCCGCGTGCGCTAGCAGCACACTAGTTTATGCAGTATTGACTTCAGAAATAACTGAAGTCGTCTGGCCGAATAGTGTCTTCCAACAAAATAAAAGCCATAGACCCAAATTGACCGTATCTCCACCAGTTCCCGATGGCGCAGATCAATAAGTGACTGACGTTTGTTTTGAAACACGCGTAGATTCTGACCACGCACCCGTCCGAAGTCGCTTCTCTGTTCGCTTTCCATGACCGCGTGTCGCCGATAACTTGCTCAGCGACTGAGCAACTGTCAGATTCCAAAGTTAGAAGGACTTACAGGGATCACCTTCTGAGCTCTTTTTCAACTGCTCCACCATCGGATGTCAAAGTATACTGGAAGGAGATCGCCAGGTATTAGCACACTGTTGGGAGTTCCATCTACAGCACGGTGATGCCAGGTTCGCTCAAGCACAGAACATCAGACAGAAGTGGTACCGCTTTACTCCCACAGGAATATTCCCGTCGGTGCCCGACACAACTCAGTCCACTGAATTATCAGGCGCCAAGTCAAACTTCGTGTCCGCGCCGACCGTGAAACCTGATGGACACGTAAAGCTAAGGAAATGAAAAGGCTGATAAAGATGGGAATGTCGAATCACCTCAGTTGATCTGTTCGACCGGACGCCGGAAACCGCCGTCGAGGATCAAAGTGGCACGGGCATCTTCAATAAAACATTACTGGACATCTGGTCGTAGACAACTTGGTTGGCATATTCAAAAAGCGGCTGGCATAGATCCCATAGAGTAGTGAGAAATCCCTGCGAGTAATACGGGGTAAGGTGCGCCGAATCATTTGCAGAACGGCGAATGCCTTTTGGGCCGATTTCTCACGGAGCATTGATGAAGACAAGTTTGAAGAGAGTAAAATACTCAAAACGTCTTTGGCGTCTATCTTCATGATGTTTTTTGGTCCTTTCTTACCATGCATGACAAAGGCATTCGCCAAGTCCCCTCCGAATGACATATGGACGCACTACTCGTTAATAAGAGGAAGGCACCAGTCCGACGACCACTGCTTGGCAGCGTCTACATCCATTTGTAGGGCACTGGCATTGGAACTCCAGGATTTCAAGTCGTCCGCAAAAAGTAGACATGGACTCGCAAGAACATCTGGAAGGTCATTGACGTAGATCAGAAACAGCAGCGGTTCCAGAACGGAGCCTTGAGGAACCCCAATGGAGACCGGCGCTGGAGAAGAGTAGGTCGAGCCCATTCTCACTCGGAATGATCTGCCTGATAAGAACGCCTTGATCCAGTGTAGGATTTTCCATTGAATCCCGTAAGATTCGAGTTTGTGGAAGAGCGAGATCCGATCAAATGCTTTGGAGAATTCAAGAACTGACATCCGATATGAGTCCCTCGTCCTTGGCTTGGGTTAAGCTGTCCATATACACGAGCATGTTTGTGACAATCGCTTCCGTCCAAAAAGAGGGAAGGCGGCCTTCATCAAGTGACTGACGAAACATCAGGTATGAATGATTTGCCAATGTAAACGACGTTCCTTCAGGATTTGTCAGGCGGAATTTTACACGGATACCGCTTTGCCGCTCACAGTCAGGTGCTGCTAAGCCCGAGAGCCCTATCCCACGCAAGATTGGCCAAAAATTCGGGACGCTTGGCAGTCCGAAATCTGATTGGTCGAAAGTCTGGACCCAACAGTCAGTCGTGACCCAGTATTGACCGAATGCCGGTTACCAATGGCGCATCCAGAACGCTTCAGAATTTCCAGAAATTTGTTGCCGCTTACGCTATAGATATGAAGCGCTATAAAAGTGTCCCTGACTTCGTTTTTGGCGTTAATATACCTCGTGTACCTTTGCTGTTTGTTTTGACGTGAACGCTAGCTTGGAAGGCTCAGACCAAGAACTAAGCTAAAAAAAATACCGTTACTACACGGTCCTTGGATGGACCTCGCCGGGCAGAACGGGTTGATCTTATGCAAGAGTTGGCGTTTGCCTTCCGCCGTGAAGATCAAGTCGGTTAGATTCTGATCATAGTTACGCCTTGACAAGACTGGATGTGACGAGGACACTGACAGTGGCATAAAACACGGATCCGCAAAGTGGCGGACGCATTCGTGTAACAGTGATGGTGGTGTCACGTGCTACCGACGGTGTTGACCTTGCTGTTGCTTTCAACGAAATGCTGGGCTTGGGGCTTGCCAGGCCAAGTTGTGGTGATTCCAGCGTCACACTGGAATATGCTAAGTAATTCGGAATAGCATATCTATAGAACGACAAATGGCAAAAAGTTGCGTGAAAAAACGCCCATGTACGACTGTAACTAGGTGCAACATGCGTGTATCCATGATAAACAGAAAAGTTGCTGTAGGACCAAGCATACAACGGATGCCCGGCGTTGATTTGCATGGTTTATGATTGCGGAAGCGGTGGATTGTATGTTGAAAGTAAACATGCGGCATCCCCATATTACGTTTGAGCACATCCTAGTGTTCACTGCGCAAAACATGTATGGCCAGTGCGTCATGAGTCACAGCTTTTTACACTGATGAAAAGGTGAAATGCGTGTCTAGGGAACGCAGCGTTGGAACGCAGTGATTACAGCTGAGGCCCGATGTCGTGAGATTACGCATCCTCCAATGAATTGGAATCGGTAAAGCAACTACTTTATAATCGCGGCTGTTACTCTGTAGTGCGTTGATCTAGAACTAGGCGACTCAAATTTCTATGTTTGTCATCAATGAATTGAAAGACTTGTTTAGGATGCATAATGAAGTACCGCTGTTTTATTCGACCATGTAGTACAATCGTGAGCCTATCATCTCTGGCTCGTTGGCGTAGTAGATAGACATGGTAGAGGGGGAAGTGTGTATTAAGGTTTCATTTTCAGTGAAACTGTAGAATCGTATGAGCGTGTCCTTCAGTATTTTCGTAAAACTATGCCGGAGATCAGGAAGGTGCAGAATTTTATTCGCGACAGGCATGCAGCATGTCTTGTCTCAATAAGGAAGCACCCATCGCGAGTGAACGTTCATCTGCGTTCACTTTACTTAGTGAGAAGTCTCACAGGGTGCCCTAATACCATATCTGCTGTTTCACTTGAAGACAAAGGTGTCATACTTCAGTGCCTGGAGTGTCTGGTCTATTGCGGATCCCTCAAGAATTTTAATATATATTTACGGCAAATTCGTCATAAGAATGCCGAACTGTACCATTACCTTCAGCAAAATTGGCTTCCTAAGACAATCCAGTGACAAGGGTTTGCCCGGAGGTATGACGCAAGTTTGGGCACGATGCAAACAGCATGATAGGAGCAGTCAACTCCTTTATTAAGAGTAGTCTATCAAAGTCTTTCCATGGCTAGATTGTGTGAAGTGCGCTTTTCTTTGTAGTGACAGTTTATGAAATAAACACACCGTGCAGTTAAGTTGTGAGTCGCTGGGAGTAGCTTACGAGTTTCTCGCAGAAGACCATGTTTTAATCCTTTT